TGATCACCTTTTGCATGGCACTCTTCAGTTTGGTGATTTACAAACCATAGCTAGGAACGATTTCATCTGCTGCAACGTTCACTACTTGGGTACAATCTGCCACATGGTTAACAAAGCTTAGCAATATTACTGTATCCAGTTGGCATGTCTTAGTAGAGTTTGTTTTCATAACAAAATTCCCACGTTCTGTCTGATCTGAGAGGAGATGCTTACTATTGTTTGTCTGCTGGGTATCTCAGGCAGTATGCAAAGAGCATTGTCACTCAAGAAAATACTGATGATGGGATGAATTCCTTGGTGTGAGACATCTGCCAGGGCTTAATCTAGACAAAGATATTTTCATATACTTTCTGCACAGCAACTGAATAATCTTGTATTGTTGAGTGCAAAAGCCTTGAAGAACGATCATTAAACCACCAGAATAATAATTGCATTTTATTTTAGAATCTTTTAGTAACTAATCATGTGCTTTTGGGTAAAGGAAGCACTTAATCTGAGAGAGCATCTTTCTGATACCTACTGTCCAAAAGAGATACCAGTGGAGAATGGCTTTTGTACCCAGGGTGGATAAAAATCAATGATTTAAAAAAATAATAAAAAAATCAGATTTTTTTATTTAAATTGGATTTTTCTGATAAAATGCTTTTTGAGGAAAAAACCTATCTAAAGGTAGTTTTAATTAAGATACCTTATAGCTCAAAGGCAGAGAGTCCTGTGGCACCTTTAAGACTAAGGCCTTGGCTACACTCGGGACTTCACAGTGCTGCCGCGGCAACGCTGTGAAGCGCGAGTGTAGTCGCGCCACCAGAGAGAGCTCTCGCAGCACTGTATGTACTCCACCTCTCCAAGGGGAGTAGCTTGCAGCGCTGCGAGTCAGCGTGCAGCGCTGCAGGCACTGATTACACTTTCACTTTACAGCGCTGTACTCGCTGCGCTCAGGGGGGTGTTTTTTCACACCCCTGAGCGCAGCAAGTTGCAGCGCTGTACAGCGCCAGTGTAGCCAAGGCCTAACAGATTTTTACAGATCCAGACTAACACGGCTACCCCTCTGATACTTATAGCTCAAAGATACCTCATCATGGAATAGGGATTATAAATTCTAATTTTATAGTATGAGACAATATATTCATGTAATGTTTAAGAAAAGTTTTGTAAATGAGTTCCAATAGTTCAGGAATTAGGGATCCAAGCTTATGGGATTCCAGGGGCCTCTGTATCAATTATTTAGGCTAATCTTTCTATCTACCCAATGGGACTCAGTTCTCAGTCTTGAATAGTGGTTCTCAACTTTTTTACTGGTGACCCCTTTCACATAGCAAGCCTCTGAGTGTGACCCCCCCTTTAAAAAAAGTAATTTTATTTATTATATTGACCACCATTATAAATGCTGGAGGCAAAACGGGGTTTGGGGTGCAGGTTGACAGCTCACGACCCCCCCATGTAATAAGCTCACAACCCCCTGAGGGGTCCCGACCCCCAGTTTGAGAACCCCTGGTAGAAGATGCCATCAGAGACCCTTAGTTCTGCAGTTCTCAAACTGTGGATTTGTCTCCAGAGATAACATGCTTGTTAACAGCAAAAATGGTGGGTTTTTAAAATATATTTCATTTAACTGTATTAGTTAAAAACAATTTTAATAAAAACAAACCTGATTTTAAAAAAACTTGAATGTTTAACTAAATTCAAAAATTCATATGCTTGTTTTGTTAAAATATTATATGTTTGCTGTTGAAGAAAAAATCAAGAATACATAACATGTGTTGTTTTAGTTAAATAAAACAATTTAAATGTCTGTTTGGTGATGATCTCCTCCTAATACAGCATGGCAAGAAAATCCTCCAAATATTAATGATTAACCTGTTGAATTGGAGATAGTTCACCTCCCCAAATGACTTCATAAATATCTGCTTCAATTACCGTTGGTAAATGAAATAATCAAACAGTCATTCATTTTCTGATATAGTTGTAAAACTAATCTGAAAAGTTTTCAAAATAAATCACTTTAAAAATGTATAGTGTGTACCTTCTAAAAATGAAACCTTCATCTATCTCTGAATTGTGAAGAATATGTATAACAACCAACAAGAATGCACTTCTATGTAGAAATCCATGATTAAATAGAGTCTTCCTGACTAGTGATTTAAATCAAATCCACCCTGTTTGTACCCGTAAGACTTTCCAAAGACATTGGAGACTGATGTCTGGAGAGCACATGGAGACATTTTTCTCCATTCAGAATACCTTCAGGTCATCCCTAATTTTCTTTCCCTGGACTGTGTATTGCTAATTGCTGCCTGCTTTTCTTGCACAACTACATTTTCTGCTGCAGGATTTGGCCCCTATTATGATTTGTGCCTGCTTTCTTGTTTATGCTCTGTTTAAGTACTTACACAAAAAAGTGTTTTTTGTCCCTAAGAAAAGAAAATTAGAAAGCAGTAGGACTCAGTCTTGCCTAAATATAACTGATTGTATATTTAATGTTTTAATCCTTTAGACCAAGCTTCTAACGAGTGTATGCACTCTCATTATGCATTTTCACCATATTTTAAATTAAGACTATATCTTATAAGCTTAACAATACAAGCAACCAAACAAACAGTGTTTATCAAAATGCACAAGTGTGTTTGTACAACAGGTTCCCAGGACACCAAGAGCATACATAAATCATAGGCCTTGTCTATATGGATAGTTAGACCAAAGTGAAAGCCTCATTTTGGTTTCAATCAGGTTTATTTCCGATTAGCTTAAATTGATTACAAACAGGTTTAAATTAAACTGAGAAGAATACACAGAGGGCTTTCACTGGTTTAAGTAAACTAGGGCAAATTTGTGTGTGGGCAAATTTTAAAAAGGGGAGGTTCTTTTCAATCTGCCTAGATCTCAAAGGAAAGATATTGATTATCAATATGTCCACACTTTGTCTCACACTTTTAACTATCCAAAGTACTATAATAAACTCTCTCCAAATTTCATTTCCAAACAGATATAAGACTAGTACAATCAGTTAGGCAAGACTTAGAAAGCACTAAGACTCATTTTCTTTTCCTAGGAACAAAGCCCATCTTTTTGTGTAAATAAGAAGAAATCCTTAAGCTGATCACCAGTTGTTCAAAACAAAGGACGCAATCAACTAAAAATCACATTTCTCTCATAGAATTTACCTTCTATTACAAGTAATGCATGATTAGTGTAACTGGAAGATAACTTTTAAAAGTTAGCTAATGTATTTACTTTGTGCATTTGGCAGTGTTTTCTGTGTAATCAATTTCACTGCAATCCATTTTCTGTGTTTGTGTAGTTTTTTCACACAGTAAGAGAGAGAATTTTTCTTAAAATGTGGTTCCATATTTTAATTTTAATTGAACTTTCCTCAAATGCTGTCCCAGATTCAATTCTGCAATCCAGAGGCTTAGGGGAAATTTTTTATTCTGATACCAAAATCCCATATAATCCTACTAAATATCATTTAGTCAGTAAAGCCTCACTGAGTACCTATTTTTGTTTTAAGACATGTATCTAAATGAGGGAAGTGATATATTAAGATGTTAACAGTGTTTATGGCTTCCTCAAATTCCTAGAATTGGCCATACTGCGATTTTGGGACCTGAAGCTACTACTCCCACTTCTGAAATCTAGGGGTTACATTCCATAATTCATTCCTTGCAATATAAACTGCTACTGTAACCCTGACACTTCAAGTCACAGTCAGCAGTTGTCCAATAAGTGTGTTTTTTATATAACCTCTTAATTTTCTAAGGGGATGGTGGGAAGGGAAAAAGGGATTTCAGCAGAGCCCTGGAAGGGCAAATGGGAAGAGTTCATATAAATCTAACAAAGGAACTATTAATGCCTCTATGGAAGGCGGATTGAGGAAAGCTTATGTAAATACACACACACTGTGGAAAACTAAGCAGGTGTGCTTATCACCCTGATCTCTTTGCATATATGTTTTATTCCTTTGCCCGCCCCCCCATTGCCTTTTTAGATTGTAAATTCTTTTTGCTGGTAGAATACCTACCATATGGGGGCCCTGATCCTGATTAGGCCCTAAAGTATTAACCAGCAACTGGAGGAGAGCAGGAGATAATTAACATGGGATAAGGATTGAATGAGTGAACAGCAGGAAGGGGTAGTGGATTGTCAGGGAGGAAAAGAATAGGAGTGGGACAGACACTGTTTATAGGTTGTAAACCTCAGCTCTGGCAGTTGTTCTGTAAGGTGCCAAAAAAAAAAACAAAACGTGAGGGTGTTTGGAATGCTGGTTCTGGCACCTAGAATGTGCAGGTGGCTTGAGGGGATGGTACAAAATGAGCCAAGGCAGGCTGCTCTGTCGTGGATCTTGCACTGGCCACAAAAACACTTTGAAGGGATTGTGATGGTGCAGGAATCGGACATGCTAACTAATAGGAATATTCAGGTCCTTCTGGCTTGATGCGGGGAGGTGATCATACAATTGTCTAGGATAAAGAAAAATAGAAATGACTTTTTTGTGACTTACCAGTACTCTGCAGTGGAATTGGCAAACTGTGTTAATATAAAATAAGTTTCTGGAATTGTCAAAGCTAATATCAGGTGATGGATTATATGGCGTTACCTGCAAGATTTCTGTTGATGCGTACCTTTGCCTATGTTATAGCCATAGAAACATCACCTTTACCAGAATTTTGTATCCCCCAGGGCTAATGCAAAAAACTGTTTAGAGACAGGTTAGGCTTGATCCACTCATCATGAAAAGTTTTAATTTCACTGTTACCTTTGGTTGGAATTCTGCTAGTTAGTCCAACAACTTTCTTTGCTCTGATGGTTCATTTTGACCCAAGATGCATTTAGTAGCAGATTATGAAATGGCAGGCAGCTGGCTTAATTTAGAAAATCCATATTCCAGCAATCAGACTATTTCACAATGTGCTTGTTTGTTTTGGTTGCTAGCTTTTTTTTGCACATTCCCTATTGTGTGTGTGTGTGTATGTGTATATATATATTTATTTTATTTTTTAAAGGATTGGACCTATCCCATGAGAAGAGAGATGCAGGTATGACACTTTAATTTGTTCATTTGAGCCAAAACCCAGTGGCTCATTCAGTAAGTACGTGGAGTTGCCAAATGAAAGACTTGAGTTCAAAACTAACCTCAGGCTCTTAAATAGCAGGCTGGCAGTATTCCAGCAGATATGCCTCCTGGGGGAGGGTGCATGCTACATTGTTCTTGAATTCCCCACCCCTAGTGGTTAGCATAGAGTAGAAACAGTATATAGCAGGAGGATGCTAGCAATCTCTTTTGCTGGACATGTGTTGTGTTCTATTGGAGGTTTAAGTATGAAGGAAGGGATTTTTTTTTAATGGGGGAAGAGGAATGAGGAGAGAAGAGTGGACAGTCTAGAATAAAGGGTGACTGGGATCAGTGTTGCAAACATAAAGTTAAAAAACACTATTAATTGGGAATCTTGGACTCTCTCCCAACACCTGAAATATACAGTATTTTGCCTTCATGTATGTGTTAGAGCATGGGAATTACAAATAGACTAGAACTTTGCTTCTGACTTAAATTCATTCAGAAGCAGGTGTTCTCAAATAGCAGCCTTTGGGGAACTTAAGTGTTAGTACATGACCTTTCAGCCAAATCCTTGCATAAAATAAAGATCTTCAGACATGCCTGAAAGTGAGATGGAATGGAGGGGGGATAACTGGATACAAATTAATCATTTGTTACTAACTGTCATATAAAGTGAAATGACTTATTGCATATGTAAACTGTACATAAGTGAGCTTTTAGAATACCTACGATAACTTGCCTTCACCCCAGCTCACAATTCCACTGAAACCCACTATTTAAAAAAGGGCTGGATAAGGTGTGGCAATCTAACGAACTTTGTCCATATAAAGGATTTAATTTCTCTTTCAAAAATAAGAGTCTCTTCTTATGGATCACATTTCTTTTACTTTGCAAAACCTTTTTTCCTAGCCCTGTTATAAATGACGCTTGATAACATGTCCCTCACAACATGATAAATTACTTATTTCCATGGCCACAGTTGGAGCTGAGAGCCCAATGCATTTTTAACTAAGTTTTTTGAGTTGATGTTTAATGTTTTTGGTTTTTTTTTTCCCCTGTAGGAAATTTTACCTGGGTTATTTTTAGGCCCATATTCTTCAGCTATGAAAAGCAAGGTACGGTTTTCAGAATATTCTCCTCTAAGTAAAGTTCTAGCAAAATTGCTCTTGGCACATTAACATAGTTATTGTGAAAAAGTAAATTGCATACAGTTAATATTTACACAACTCTCTGAAGTCTTTCCTATGAGCTCAGTATAAAGGACACAAGGTAAATGAGGGAATATCTTTTATTGGACCATCTTCTACTTTCGAGCTACACAGAGCTCTTCCTCGGGTCTGGGGAAAGTACTCGGGGGATACGCCTACACAGCAAAGAGAAACCTGCGGCTGGCCCGTGCTATCTGATTCAGGCTTGCGGGGTTCTGGCTGCTTCATTGGAGTGTAGACTTCTGGGCTCAGACTGGAGCTTGAGATCTGGAACCCTCCCACCCCACAGAGTCCTCAAGTCCAGGCTTCTGGGCTCCGGCTGGAGTCTACACAGCAATGAAACAGCCCCTCACAGGTCAGCCGCAGGTGTTTCTTTGCTGTGTAGATACCCAGTGTCACAGCTAAATACGTGGTCGAACAGATAGATTAGCATAAGAAGTTAGCATATATTCTAAGAGGGACTGTTAACGGTCCACTTCACCTTGAATGGTCCCTTAGCATATATTCTATCTGTTCCACCTTGTATTTAGCTGTGACATTGAGTACCTTTCCCAGACCCGAGGAAGAGCCTGTGTAGTTTGAAAGCTTCTCTCTCACCAACAGAAATTGGTCCAATAAGATATTACCTCACCCACCTTGTCCCTCTAATACCCTGGGACCAACACGGCTACAGCAACTCAGTACGAATGACGTATTGTCCATTTCTTTTATTACCTGCTGTGGTTTGTCAGATTTGCAAACTCAAAAAAGGTGTTCACTCGGGCAGGATGAAGGTAATCTGGGGCTATAGGAACTCTATGACATGAGGTTCCCTGGCCTGTGCTGTGATCCCACTTGTCCCAGAGCAGTGAGTCTTGGAATTGGCACTCCATTCTGATACATGGGGCAGTTCAGTTCACACCTTTCAGCTGTTATTTCAAGCTGTCTGCAGACTCAGGTAGACACCTTTGTATCTGGTGCACCCAATTCATGTTTGAGTTTTCCTTGACAATCATGAGAGCACAAAGCTTATTTTGAAACAAATGAAAGCTGAGTCTCATGTAATCACATGCCTAGGATGTTAACTCCTGAAGTCAGACCCTGAACTCCGCTACAGTGATTTATTCACTTGCCTCTGCCATATACTACTACCCTACTCACTCCAGACAAAAGAATCTGTAATACTAGATTGTATAAACAAGTATTCAGTGACTTCCCCTAAAGGCGATGAGCATTTATTAGTGATTTCACCATAATTAACAAAATCTGAGTTTATAGATTGTGGCAAGCAGATATTTCTGTGAATGCTCCTTTGTACTTTGTTCAGAAAATGGATATTGGGCCATTGACAGTTATTTCTCTGTTAGTGTTATAACCATAAATCAGATCAGTCAATATAATATTTATGTAGCGTGAACTAAGATAAATGGCAGGGGTTCCGTTTGAACATATCCCAGAGGCAGAGAAAAGGTTTGCAAAATTACATTATATAGTTTAGAAATATCACTTCTTGCCTGTTACGGATTGGTTCCATCAAGATTCAGTGTTAGCAGTAATATTACCACATGGCATGTGAACTTGAGAGAGATTTCAGAGAAGTTGAAGGGTGTGTTGGGGGTGGGGAAACCATTTTTTAAATCCCCTCTCTGCTAGGTGCTTTTTTATCCCTGCTGCTAGGAGCATTCTTCATATAACCCTACATTTGATAAAAGAGTTCTCTTTATCTGAATATTTGGAGGTCTAGTCTTAAATGTATTAACTTTTCATATACTTGCCTGATAACCCCAATCTAACATTTCACATTGATCATAATTTAAGGATAGTGTTACAATAAAAAATAACTCCTAAATATGCTACAATAAAAAACATCTCTTCTTTAAAAATGTTACCTAAATTCTTATTTTTTGCAGCTACCTATACTTCAGAAACATGGAATAACCCATGTAATATGCATACGGCAAAATATTGAAGCAAATTTTATTAAACCAAACTTCCAACAATTATTTAGGTAAGAAATGAACATAACAGCATTCTGAAAAATAAAACCATATTGAAGATCTTATTTTGAAAAGCTATGCTTTAATTATATTGAATGGGATTTTTAAAGGTGTTTTCCTTATTGCTAGCATGGTCCTCTCAAGTGATCGTGTTATGTTTATATTGTTTGAAAAATGTCTCACTAAAATAAACAAGGTTGTGTCAGATAATCTCGACAATGTGTATTTGTCCCACCACGCCACAAAATAGTTTGTGGTATGCCAGACAAACACTCCGAGTCTCCAACTGTCTTCCAATTACTGATCTGTCAGTTCTGGGCATAGTTTGTTTAAGTACGTTGAAACCCTGCTGCAATAACTGATTCAAAGACAATACATGCAGCCTTTTTGTGGCATACAGGGCCCCCAGAAGAGAGTTCAGGTACAATTTAACATCTTGATAATATTGGGAATATGGAATAGCTGTTCAGCTGCATTATATATAAATTCATACCCAGCCTGGTTCTCTGCAGCTTTGATTCCTAAGGGGTTTCGCACGGCATTTTGGATCTCCTCCTTCCAGCTGAGAACTGGCTAGGATCCTTCAGATTCAGTCAGAACCTTTTCACGGCCTACAAGGGTGCTACATTCCCCGTAGTCCTGGAAATGAGACAGGAAAATGAGGCTCGGTCTCTTATATGGCATTGTACAACTTCTTATGCAGTTTTCTGAATGACATCGTTGCAAAGCTATCTTCCAGATTTACTGTACCCATTAAAGAAAAGGCAATATGTAATACTGTTGTATGCTCACAGTAACTGTTTTAATTTCAGGTATTTAGTCTTGGATATTGCAGATAATCCAGTTGAAAATATAATACGATTTTTCCCTATGGTAAGTATTTTGGTCAGTCAGTTTGAGTGGATTGTGAATGGAGCAGTTTATAGTCAGATTTTCCAAAGTGACTAGTAATTTTGGGTGTTGCAGTTTTTCAGTGCCTAACTTGAAACATCTTATAATGGATTCTATTCCTGGCTCTGCCACTGTCCTGCTTATTGACCTTGATCAGGTCAGTTTCACCTCTCTGTGCCTCACTTTCCCCATCTGCGGAACTGGGACAATGATACTGACCTCCTCTGTAAAGCACTTTAAGATCTGCTGATGAATAGTACTATATAAGAGAGAGGTGGTGGTATTATTATTTTTATTCGTGCTTGATTTTCAGTGGGTGCTCATCACTTTCTGGAAAGCAGGCCCATTTAAGGTATCCCAAGATGTGTACCCAGAATTACTAGATATTTTGGAAAACCTTGGTTTCTAAGAATCAGCCCTATAATTTTTTCCTTACAGCAAATGTTAGTACAGGTCAGCTTAAAAAATGAAAGGAAACTGGATGGTGCAGAATTTCAATTCGTTTTCTGGAAGCATATTTTAATCTACTTTAAAGGACTTAAAGGCAATTTTCATAATAAAAAAAATTCATTTTAATACCTAGTTACACTCTGGAACATTAAACAGAAAAATTTGGTTAAAGAAATGCTGAGCCTCAATTTGTACACTTTGGGTTGTTTTTGAGAGAATGGAAGCATTTTTATGAGAATTCCCCCCAAATTAAGTTGGGGGAGAGGGAAATCACATCTGGCCTTGCAGCTTACAATAGTCCCAGTGTTTCCATAGTGTGGACCACATAAGTCTGTTTCCTGGGGCCACCTCCTTCCTAATCATTAATCCATATTTGATCACAGAGCAGTTTGCTGACGTGGATGGTAACACGGTAGAAGTGTGTACTTTCAACAGTCAAACACAGTAACACTTTGTCCCCTCTCTTTGAGGGGAAAACTCATTCACTTTTTGTTCATTTCCTCTACTCGCCTCACACTTTACTCCTTCAATGTACTACTCTGCAGCTACTTGCCTTCTCCCCATTCCCCTGCACATGCTGCCGGGCTGCCCGGTCCTTTTTCTGCCCTGTTCCTTGTAACTGTTTTACCCTGGATATGCCTTTCCTACCGATGGCGGTAGACATTCAGGATGGCTCTTGTTTGCTCTCCTATGTAGCAGTGACCCAAAAAAGAGATGTCTCATTTCCAGCTGCTTTTGAAGGTTACTGGACTCTTCTATGCAGTGAAGAGACTAGAGCTTGAACAGCAGCTGGAAACAAGGAAGAGCCGGCACTATTTGGTGACCCAGAGAGCTCTTTAGACCACGCATCCCATGTTGTAGGTTGATGAATAGAAACCTACACAATAGATTTTAAAAGGTGGCTTTTTATAGTAGATATACCGACATCAATGTTATTCTTCGTAAGTACTTTATTGTGACCCAGATTATATTTGTGTTGGGTATTTTGCTTTTCATCTGTTCATTTCTGGATAGCATAGGCTGTTTGCATTGAATTGTCATGAAGTATCTTGGGGTCATGTTGGGATTATAAATAACAAACTTTGTTTGTGGTAATGCTTAACTAAAATGTGTTTAATTTCTGATAATTAAAAAACTTTTCTTTATATCTCAAAATTCTCATTATAAAGCCCCTAATTTGTATGTAGAACAGTTAAGTGACATATTAGCATGTCAAAATCTTGAATCTTTACATGCTGACTAATGATGTTTGGTGTGAAAACTCTTCAGTTTTTAAATGTAACAATGGTGTTAGTATTTACAGCTCTAGTTGGAACTGCGTGTCTTCATGTAACCAACTCACTCTTTTCCCTATAGACGAAAGAATTTATTGATGGAAGTTTACAAACTGGAGGTAAACTTGGATTCACTTTTTCTTTGATTTACCTAATATCCTAATAGTTGTTACAAAGCTTTAAAAATCCACTTGCTTAGTTGTGTGTATCTGGACATAAATATTTGTAACTGTCAAGTACCGAAGTGGGGATTTCCCAAATGTTTGGGTTTTTTGGCTGACTGGTGCTTGTCATTTTGCATGCTCATGAACCTGGTAGTGGAACTTGTCTTAACATTACATTTTAATATAGGCCCAATACAAACTATTCTCCTTCCCTTCCCCCCAAACTCGGATAACCAATCTATTCCTAGAGCAGTCTGTACACTGCAGATTCGATTGTGTTCTGGGAACTAATACAGATTCATATGCTTAGGGTTTTGTTTTTAAATGTAGGGCCTCGCTCCTATACTAGGCTAGGATCCACGCTAACAGGATCCCGGTTAGTGATCTAGAGTGAAGTAAAACAAAATTTGTAAGACACTAACCTATTATTCTTTAGAAAATACCTTGCTGTTGCATAGATGTGTTTAAGGTGAAAAGCTGGTAAACTTGGGAGAGAATAATTTTTACCCATCTGTACAAGTAATTCTCTCTCTTCTCAGGAAAAGTTCTTGTCCATGGAAATGCAGGGATTTCTAGAAGGTAGGAACCTTTCCCTTTTTTCTTTTGTTTTTTATATGCAGCATGTGTTTTTTTCTTTTTTTTTCTAAATAGTTTGTTTCTTTTCAGTGCTGCCTTAGTTATTGCATACATTATGGAAACATTTGGGGTGAAGTACAGGTAAGAACAGTACATTTAAACTGAGTTGTAATTTAGTTGTCTTAAGTTATCTGTAGAAATTGAAATAAGTTTAATTTAAAAAATACTTATGGGACATTGGTCCATTTGCAGTTTAGGATAACTGCCGCCTTCCCAACCAAGTACTTAGTTGTAAATGTAAAGTAATGATTTAACTTTGAAAATTCTTTATAATATTACTCAGGGATGTACACCCTGTGGCTTCAGGGCTTAAGCCAATCTTTAACTCTTGGGGATTGAGCGGAGACTTTTCCCTTTGGGCAGATTATCCCCTGATTGCCTGCTGCAGGGTTGCTTTCAGCTTCCTCTGAAGCAGTTGGAGACAGGATACTGGACTAGATGGACCACTAGTCTGATCCAGTGTAGCAATGCCCGTGTTCTTGCCGTCTGTAATAGTCCCTTGGGGCCTTTGCCACCCAGTGCAGTTTAGAGATGCTGTGCCTTGAGACCAACCTTGTGGCCCTAGGCAAGGGGGAGCCTAAAGGTATTTAATAAAATATAAAAAATAGGTCTCTCTCTCTCTCTCTCTCTCAGAACTGGAAGGGACCCCGAAAGGTCATCGAGTCCAGCCCCCTGCCTTCACTAGCAGGACCAAGTACTGATTTTGCCCCAGATCCCTAAATGGGCCCCCTCAAGGATTGAACTCACAACCCTGGGTTTAGCAGGCCAATGCTCAAACCACTGAGCTATCCCTTCCCCCCAAAGCCAACTCCTACACCCCCAAGCTAGTTCAGGTACAGAAGGGCTAGTTCTAACGGGCTTTTAAAGAAAAGTGTTTCCCCCCCAAGAATTTAGAGCCAGTAGCAATAGATTGGTGTAGCTAGAGATGACTACAGAGATCTTTTTTCTCGTTAAGGGATGCATTTACTTATGTTCAAGAAAGAAGATTCTGTATTAATCCTAATGCTGGATTTGTCCATCAACTTCAGGTAACATTTTTTCCTGATTATAACTTAAAGCACATGGCTTCCTTTCCAGCCAGTTATGTATATACTTATGCAACTAAAAATCAATGTTTCTCAAGTGATTTAAAAAATTAAACTAATTAGTATGTTTGTTAGCATACTCTGACACTCATTTATCTGGAACTATGGGGGGTGGAGGAGAAGAGAGCTGTCACTTTCATCAGTTACCAGAATCAAACTTTGAAAAAAGCAACTTCGGACATGAGTAAAGAAATGAAAATCTGTTGTTTCATACTAATTGCCCCAAGAAAGGAAAAAGAAATGGGGCTAACAAGATGGATGTGTTCCAATAAGCTTAACTCGTTGTTTACTAAACGTTTTCATTCCCATAAACCCTTCTCTGACCTTTGCCCTACGCAGCTTTCTCTCTAACTTACAGTCCTGTGTCTCCTTACTTTGCAAAGGGCCATGCATACCCAGTAGCAATATGTCCTTATTTTTTTAGGAATATGAAGCCATCTATCTAGCAAAATTAACTATCCAGATGATGTCACCACTGCAGCTGGAGAGATCACTCTCTGTTCCACCTGGTACTACAGGTGAGAAGTCTCTTCTGTTCTATGTAACTACTCTCTCCTTTCCTAAGGACAGTGATGTGGCTTGGTTTTGTGAAGTGATTTCCATTGGCAACAATGGTCAGGCTTACTTGTGCAGTGCATCTGTTTCTCTCTGGGTGGAAAATGACTTCAATTGGTATACAGGGGTTACTTGCAATCTTGTGTTTAGGATGGAGTACTGAAAATGCGCCACTTCCCCGATATGCTGGAGAAAGGGTGGCTTTGTGGCAAGCATCCCCAGAACCTGCTGAAAGCCCTGGGCTACATGGAGATCCAGACTGGGGGGGCAGCCAATAATCAGAGCATATTCCATGCCTTAAAGCTAAGGCAGCTCTGCTTGGAAGGGAGGATTTTGTTGTGTTTCAATTGAGAGAGCTGGGCACTTTTAAAATGTTACCTTCAGTCTCCCTCCCTCACGTTGTCCCAACAGCGGCCTCTGGTCAGGCAAGGAGCACATGCCGTGATGACAAAAGGGTGAGGCTTTAATAGCCCACGCCCACTGCACATACTCAGATATGATTTCTCAGTTGCTTAGGCCTGGTCTATACTGCGGGGGGATCGATCTAAGTTACGCAATTTCAGCTACGTGAATAACGTAGCTGAAGTTGACGTACTTAGATCGACTTACTGCGGTGTCTTCACCACAGTGAGTTGACTGCTGCCGTTCCCCCATCTACTCTGCCTGTGCCTCTCACGGCGGAGGAGTACAGGAGTTGACGGGAGAGCACTCGGGAATCGATTTATCGCGTCTAGACTAGACGCAATAAATCGACCCCCGCTGTATCGATCGCTGCCCGCCGATTCGGCGGGTAGTGTAGACCTACCCGTAATTCTTTAACTTATCCTTTAATAAAGACTGAATTTGAGCTGCTTGCTGTAGCCATGTCCGGTAACACAGTGCACTTGGAATGTTTCACAGTGGAAAAAGTGTTGCCTTTGTTACATCTCCTATAACCCAAATGGCTGAACATTTGAGGTGCGGGGGGAGGATGACTAGTCAGAGACCAAGCACGGAAAGCTTCACCCCACAAGGTGAAAGTTTTGGAAGGTTGAGTATGTGCAGATTTGAGTTTCTAATGCAAGCTGTCTTGTGATCTTAATCAAAGTAGGTGCTTATAACAACTGACTTCTTAAAGCATATTCTCTAATCTTTTTTTTTTTTTTCCTTTTCAGGAAGTTTGAAGCGAACACATGAGGATGAGGACGAATTTGGAAATATGCAAGTGGCAGCAGCACAGAATGGGTGACGTAGGGCACCACTATTCATAGAGATTGTGAATTCCTGCACGTGGAAGTGAAGAAAACTAGAAAAGATAAATTAACACAAAACAATGAACACACCCAGAGCTTCTTTTCAAATACATGTTGCTTCCAGATGTAAATCTGCCTCTGCAACACACTAAGCAACATTTTAATATGTTGGACTTCTTGAATGAATAGATGGCACTGATTGTTTTATTCCTTTTTTACACTTTACAGTTTTATTCTATACCAAGATTTTTGGACTTGCAAAGAGGTATTATTGCAATAATGCACTTTTCATACTTGAAATTTCTTTATTTGTATGATATAAAGTTATTACTTTAAACAAAATGCAAGCTGGGGGGATTTGTTTATAAAGTTATTTGTGTAATTTATAACAAGAGACTTTAGTAAAGAAAAGTTTGCTAAAATTCACTGTGTTCTAAGTATATATTGCAACTTAGTTACTCCACTTTTGGAAACATACAAAAAGTGGAAATAGATCCCGTTTTTACAAACGTCCATATACCTTCTGCTGTTAGCAGTTGAAACCTCCCCAATTATCTGAACAGCATTGACTCATTATCTTCACAATAAAACCCCATTATGTACCAATTTATCTTCAAATACACTGGCTATGCTCTTGTTAGTCTTTGAGAAGAGGAAATACTGATCTAGAAACCTCCATTCGTATGATGCAAGCTAATCTAATAACTGTATCTGGTTAGAGTAAATTATTAAATAAAAGGGTCATGTGTTAAACTAACCAAAGGGGAAGCCACCATCTCAACTTGATGTATACTAGGACTGAAATCTTTCTATTAGCAAGCAGGAATAAGTTTCAGACTAAGGTTTTGGCAAACTTAGAGTATGTCTACCCTTACCCGGTAGTTCGGCGGCGAGCGATCGAACTTCTGGGTTCGACTTATCACGTCTTGTCTGGACGCGATAAGTCGAACCAGGAAGTGCTCGCCATCGACTGCGGTACTCCAGCTAGACGAGAGGAGTACCGCGGAGTCGACGGGGGAGCCTGCCTGCCGCGTGTGGACCGAGGTAAGATCGAACTAAGGTACTTCGAAATTCAGCTACGTTATTCACGTAGCTGAAGTTGCGTACCTTAGTTCGAATTGGTGGGTTAGTGTAGACCAAGCCTTAGTTGTTAAGTCAGGCAATAGTTGGTGTAACAAAATCAAAAATAGAACCATTGCCTACCAACTCATTTCCAATGCCTTTCCCGTGTATTGTATCAAACAAGGGAACCTTCGGACAAGTAGCGGTGAAAGCATACTGCAAGACCGTAGCCTGGTTGACTGAATGGAGGAACACTGATGTTTCACTCAAACACCAGCGAGTGTCTCTGCCATTGAAGATAAGATCTATGCACCTCCAAAAGGTTAAAATTAATAAATTCTGTTTAAAAAACACTTAGCTGTGCAACCTTGATTTTTCTCAAGCATTCAAGTCCAGAATTGCCAAGGTTTTTCACACAATCTTAACGCCTATCCCCTTATTTCATCAGTTACACCTCTCAATTTTCTGCAACTCTATGTATGCCATCTGCTTGTATGTCAACCAGGCCATGAACCAAAAGATGTGAATGAAAAATAGTTCCTTTAGAGCCCGGCCTTCCTTACCGAGCACCATAAAAAGTGGTAGAAAAATAACTGGAGTATTTCTTAGAAATAGCATGTTCACGTAATTAGACTGTGTCCTTATTCATAACCACAGGTGGGGTGGAGTTAAGATTTAACATACTGGCATTTCCTGACTTGCGTATTTAAGAATCCAACCTCAGCCCAGTTTTCTTTACGTGGCCATCCTGTCCCATTGCAGGTTTTCTACAACCTTGTAAACTATATATTCTGTGCACATATGTTTCAACTTTTGCTTTAGTCAAGAAAGTTATTGGGCTTAATAATAATGGGATGAAATTATACAGGTCAAACTACATGATCTAATGGTCACTTTTGACCTTAAAATCTATGAATCTGTATTGTGCCAGTCAATGTGCATTGAATGAGCCATGACTCTTGCACACACTAGATAATCAAGGTAAGCATCCGAGTTTTTGCATAGGAACATTGCCTCATTTGGTGTGCACGTACCCTGTACTGCTAAGAGAGCTGCGCTTGCACAGTGCAATGTTCTTTTGCTTAGAACATGGATTAAATGCTGTTAAATCATAACTATACCGCTGAGCATGCATAGTGAGACTTTTGCATCTTCCTAACATGGTCAAATCAACACAGAATTCAAAGGCACTTCGCTTGGTCACTGTTTTCCAGCCACCTGAACTTTCTACTCCTACCCATTCTGGTGATACATTTGAGTGGCTGTTTTTGGTAATGACTGAACTGTTTAATTTTTTTAAATCTTGAACATAAACATCAGGTGGAGGAAGTTTTCAGCCTGCAAGCTGAGTGTTTCCATTATATCCATTATCAGTCACTCAGAAAACTGACAAGAGCACTAACAGCAGCTGTCATCCAGTGTAATACTGTTTTCAAAGTTCTTCTAATGCTTATAATACGTCTTTTAAACAAAAAATGCTGGGAGCCATATTCTCAGTATTACTCATCCCATAATGTTACTATGCAACTTACGGGCAGTGTCATCTGCCACCAAGCGTGTTCTCAGCTCATGGATCGTGGAATATCCTCCAGAAAAGGGGGGGGGGTAGCTGCTTATTTGACAGGTTTCTGTGCTTATATTGCAGTCATGGACAATCTGACGGCAGTACCAACAGTGTGTGGTGGAGCAGCAGAATGCTGCTGTTGCCCTTAGACAATACCAACAATGTCCATAGACAGACCTGGACATGGCAAATGTAGGCTGCTATCAAATAAGCTGCAGCCAGTTACAAACTCGAAGGGCATGCAATTGTCCTTCCATAAGTATCACAAGAGGTCAATGGCAGTTGCTAGGAGAAGGAACCCCAAACTTAAACCTACATCCACATGTGCCACCCTGTTTATTGCAAGAGCTGCAGCAGCCTGGCACGTGGCTTGTGGAGATGAAAGTGGGCCTGGAGCTGTGCACACCTTTCTCAATATCGTCCAGTCACAATGCAGGTGAGTCAGCAACACAGTACCCACTGCAACCTGTTAATCAGCATCCTGTGGCAATGGGGATTGGAAGTCCTTAGTCACAATCCTGCATGCAGACAGCCTGAGACTGATGGCCATTTGTTGGAGACTAAAGCAGATGTCCTGTTCGTATTCTGCCTAGGTGTCAGCAGCCTTGTCTAGGGACAGCACTGCTCTCTGCATAGAGGGAAGGGAATGGAAGAAGATGCCTGAAAAAATGCTTGCTCTACTCAAACCTGCTGGGGTGCTGGGCCTTATTGGATATCCAGTTGTTCTGCTGTCTAAATACAAGGAAGACCCAGATAAATTTTGCAACTTAGACTGTTCACACCCTCCTCGACAGAGGCGATAGACCTGAGCATGGGACCACTATATTCAGTACAGTAACTCCTCACTTGACGTAGTTATGTTCCTGAAAAATGCGACTTTAAGTGAAACGATGTTAAGCGAATCCAATTTCCTCATAAGAATGAATGTAAATGGGCGGGGGGGGGTTAGATTCCAGGGCAGCTTCCCTTACTCTGCAAGCACCAGAGGTGGGGGGTTCAACCTTCAGCCCCCCCCCCCCCCCCCCCCCCTCCCCCAGCCCCCCCCCTTGTCCCGCCCCATGTCCCCCCACCTCCTCCCCCTTTACTTTGCTCGCTGAGTCCTCGCTCCTCCCCCCTGCTTCCAAAACGCTGCAAGCCAGCTGATTGCCCTGGGCAGGAGGGAGGAGCGAGGACTCGGCGCACCTCCACTCCCTCTCCTGCCGGCGGAAATCAGCTGGCTTGCGGTGTTTTGGAGGCAGGAAGGAGGGGGGAGGAGTGAGGACTCAGCGTGCAGGCTCCCCCTTCCTCCCGAACACGGCAAGCCAGCTGATTGCCCCAGGCAGGAGTGAGGGGGAGCCTGTGGGCTGAGTCCTCCCCCCGCCTCCCGCCTGGGGCAATCAGCTGGCTTGCTGCGTTCGGGGAGGAGGGGGAGCCTGCAGGCTGAGTCCTTGCTCCTGCCTCCAGAACGCTGCAAGCCAGCTGATTGCCGTGGGGAGGGAGGGGGAAGGCGCTGATCCGCAGAGTCTGCCGGCGGCTGGGAGGCGCTGTGGGGGAGGGGGCTGTAGGGAGGCTGCCAGCTGTGGAGAAAGCAGGCAGCCAAACAACGTAAGAGTGGAGCATTGTGCAACTTTAAATGAGTATGCTCCCTAATTGATTAGCAACGTAACAACGAAACAACGTTAAGGGGGACAACTTTAAGTGAGGAGTTACTGTAGTATACTGGCATGGTACAATATGGATATTGCTGCACTCCGTGAGACAAGACTTACTGGCAAGTTGCTGCTAGAAAAAGAAGATATTGGTTACGCTTTTTACCAGAATGGCAAATCTGAGGATGAACCCAGATGCTCTGCTCTTTGCTTGCAAACTCGAGGCACTGCCAAAGGGTGTTAAGGCCAGACTTATGCTCCTCATTAGCCTTGCTAAGAGGTGTTCTACTTCTGGCATCGGGGCCCATGCACTGACAATGATCCATCCAGATGAGGATAAGGAGGGAGGTAGCAGGTCGGTCCCATGTAATGAACTGATCATTTTGGGCGATTTCAATGCTGGGATGTGAGTATGCGTCTTAGGGCAACGTGATGGATTGTCCCAGCATTGATAACATGAAATGACTTGCTCCTACTTTCCAAATGTGCTGAATACACCCTACTCATCACCCATACGTATTTCAGCAGGCCAAGTATAAGACAACCTGGATGCATTACTGACATAATCAATTACATTGTACGGTGAAGAGATCACCACCGCGTCCGGCTCACTCACCTTATCAGCGGCACCGACTGCTGCTCAGACTCTAGGCTTCTGGAGAAGTCAAATGTCGCTGTGTGACTACGTCGATACAATACGCCACTGGCAACGGCGTGCAGCCTACATGCTGCAGGGAAACGCAGGCTGTCACTGCATGTGTCAGTGAAACGCTCTGGCAGGGGCGAAGCAGCAGAGGAAGGTTTCAGCAGCTTTCCCCTGCTGGAGCCTTTCACTGCAGTGGGGAAAGGTGCTGGCACGAGAGGAGGCGGCAGAGAAGGGCTTGGTCCTTTCCCTGCTGCCAGAGTCCTGCCCTGCTGTGGTGAAAGGCTCCTGTATCAGAGCGGGCAGAGCCTTTCGCTTGGGGGCGGGGGAGAAGGGGAGGGCTCCAGTAGCAGGGAGGCAACAGGCCATAACACTGCTAAAAACAGCAGTGAAGAGAAGGAGGCAGAGCATGGGTGAGTAGAGAACTGTGTAGATTAGGTACTTGGGTAACAGCCAGAAGCCCCCTACTGGGTCATCCCCTTTTTTGTTAATGGAGATATCCTATCTCCTAGAGCTGGAAGGGCCCTTGAAAGGTCATCAAGTCCAGCCCCCTGCCTTCACTAGCAGGACCAAGTACTGATTTTGCCCCAGATCCCTAAGTGGCCCCCTCAAGGATTGAACTCACAACCCTGGGTTTAGCAGACCAATGCTCAAACCACTGAGCTATCCCTCCTCCGCGAATTGTTTGTATAGTCTGTTTTTTATTAACTCAAAGAATAGGGGGCTTCCATTGCTTTCCTAGGGACCATTTCACAGTCTAAAATGTCAGGAGTAATGATTTCCCTTACAGGGTGTTTAAACCAATTTTTTTGCATTCAATTTCAGCTCATTTGTCTAAACTATTCCCCTCCTATCGCAGAGAACAACTCTTGAAATTGTTCTGCCTTACCTGGCTTACTACACTGTAACCTCCTTTTTAATCTTGCCATTAAAAGAAAGGGGCTGTGGAGCAAGTTTTTGTGAGCACACCCTTGTTTAGCTTACTGTTAAAAGGGATCTAGGCTAGTACTCAGTATATGCTCGAGAGCGGTGCTTTTCAAACTGGGGGTTGCCACCCAGTAGTGGGTCGCGGAATGGAAGGCACTGGATCGTGGCGGCTCTGGGCAGCACTGCCGACCGGGCCGTTAAAAGTCCCGTCGGTGGTGCTGCCCAGCTAAGGCAGGCTAGTCCCTACCTGTTCTGACACCGCGCTGCGTCCCGGAAGCGGCCAGCAGCAGGTCCGGCTCCTAGGGGAGGGAACGCAGGGCTCTGCCCCTGCCCTGAGCACTGGCTCCATGCTCCCATTGGCTGGTTCACGGCCAATGGGAGCTGGGGGAGGGAGGCGGTGCCTGCCAGTGAGAGCTGCAGGCAGCAGCTTGCGCGCCTCCGCCTAGGAGCTGGACCGGTTGCTGGCAACTTCAGGGGTGCAGTGCGGTCTGTGGTGCCAGGACAGGGGGGAAGCCTGCCTCTGCACCCTGGCTGTGCCACTGACCGGGAGCTGTCAGAAGAAAGCCTGTGCCCCAACCCCTGCTCCCACCACAAACCCCTTATCCCTGGCCCCACCCCAGAGCCTGCACCCCCAGCCCAGAGCCCTGACCCCCTCCCACACCCTGCTCCCCTCATTCCTGGCCTCAGCCCTGAGCCCCTCCCAAACCCCTCATCCCCAGCTCCGTTGGGTCATGGGCATCAACAATTTTCTTCAACTGGGTCGCCAGAAAGTGTGAAAAACCACATCTCGACATGCTATAAAATCTCTAGGGCCGAGCAGGGGTGTAGGTACCTTGGGGCAGGGGCATAGGTGTAGTTTGATTGGTGGGGGGGGTGCGGCACAGCGGGGCTTGAGCCACCTCCACCTAGTTGGGTCCGGGCAGGGAGTGCCACCTCCACCCCCTGCCTCACCTCTGCAGGCCACCCACCTGTCTGGGTTGGGGAGAGGCGTGCAACCAAAAATTATAACTCAAAGAGTTTGAAAACAGCTTAGGGAGGGGGTCGCTAGGGGCTGTGTGAGGGCAGGGGGTAGCTCAACTTGCAGGGAGGGGATAGGGATTAGGGGCTGTGTGCTGGGAGGCCTCCCCTGCGGTTCCCTGGTCCTGGAGGGATCTGACAGCCACAGAGCCAGGGCTCCCCCTCAGGGGGCTCTTACCAGCTGCCTCAGCGGGAGCAAGGGGGGGGGGGGGCTGGGAGCTGAGGAGCAGCTTCAACCCAGGGCACCTGCAAGAGATGAGGGAACGCTGCTGCTGCCTGCTCCATGGCCCCAGCTGCCCCTCTTCGTGCCTCTGACCTGGCCAGGGGGCAGGGAGAGGCGATGTGGAGCTGCTGCTGGGACTGCAGGTGTGTGTGGGGGGGAATTCCCTTCATGTCCCCAACTCTGCCCATGTGCTCAGGGCTTTTGCCCCACAGGGAACACCAAAGCTCAAGGCTCCAGTATTCAGCCCTTTGTGGGGGGGGGGTGCGCTCAGGATTGGGGCTTCAGCTCCATGGCCCCCTTGAAAGGGCTCATGGGCCCCCTGGGGGCCGCAGACCCCTCGTTGAGAACCACTGCTCTAGAGGTACTCAGAGTTGCCAAAATCAGACTGCAAGTCAGCCATGGCTTTGGGTATGCAGCCCAATACCCATTTGCCTCTGCTGTTCACTGTCACGCCAGGTTCTTTTTGACATCACTAAGTCTCTTTCTCTTATTTGGTGTCTGCTTTCTAGGTTGGTTATATGGATAAAGCATTTAAGACTGCAAGTCTTTTGCATTTCTCTGCTCTTCCTAACTTAGTGTTGTGTGAAAGTTTTAAATATTCTCAAATTTCAGCCAGCCCCAGTTTTGTGGAAGAAGTGGTAAAGTCAATGTACATGTTATCACTTTTGATTTAAAAAAAAGTGTCCTGTTTTTTCTAGCAGTTCAGCTAGTGTTAAACATGGAGCCCTGCAGCTCCCCACGCCCTAAAACTTTTCAGTCATCCAAGTTCAGCAGTATGATTGATTACTGGTGATGCTTCAGTCAGCTGGACTGTGAGCCAATGTGGCCACACCTTCAAACTCTAAAAGGTATGCTTCCCTACACGCAGAAGGTAAAGTATTTCCCAGCATAGACATTCCACACACTAAGGCTACATCTAAACTACAGCCGGTCAATTTAGGGGGTCTAGTGAAGACCTACCAAATGGACAGCAGCTCACGCTCCAGTTGACCTCTGTACTCTACCCCCAACGAGAAGAGTAAGGTAAGTCAACGGGAGACTTTCTCCCATCAACCCCCTGCGGTGTAGACCCCGCAGTAACTTGACCTAAGGTACGTCGACTCCAGTTACATGATTCACATAGCTGGAGTTGCGTAGGTCGACTTACCACGGCAGTGTAGACATAGCCTAAGTTAACGCCATAAGATTTAACTGTGTCTAACCCTCATACTAATTTATCACGTCACAGAGGAGTGGCACAGCTAAAGGTGCAGTAGCCACCCTGCTTAGTAGGAAGAGGTAACTTCAACAACCGCTGCTTTTGCTACCATCAGTCCGCCAGGGGCCAGAAAGTAGCCTCTGATACAGAGTGAACAGTACTTTGGAAAGCTTGTACCACCGTCAGAGCAATGTGCATGAGCTGGATTTCTCCCAGTAAATGCGTTATCAAACATGTAATAGACCAAAGCCTTTAACTGTCTTAAATCAATATAAGCCTATAACTGCAGTGCTCCCTACATACTCTTGTACGAGTTGTCTTATGAACTTCTTACCAGTTATTTTTAAAGGGGAAGTAATGAGGGCAAAAACCATCTCACTCTAACAAGGGCCTGAATGGACTAGGTCCCGTAGATCAGTAGCTCTCAACCTTTCCAGATGACTGTACCTCTTCAGGAGTCTGATTTGTTTCATGTACACTTCACTTAAATACAACTTGCTTATAAAATCAGACCAAAGTGTCACAGCACACTAGTACTGAACAATAGCGGACTCATTTTTACCATATAATTATAAAATAGATCAGTTGGAATAGAAATATTGTACTGACATTTCAGTATATAGAGCAGTATAAAGTCATTGTCTGTATGAAATTTTAGTTTGGACTGATTTCACTAGTGCTTTTTATGTAACCTGTTATAAAACTAGGCAAATCTCTAGATGAGGTGATGACCCACGGGAAGACCACTGCCTACTGTAATGTACTTAAAACTAGATGAAGTTCAACATCTGATTAAAGTTGTGAAGAACAGGAAAATCCACGTTAACCTGGTATAGCATAAACCAGCTGTCACTTCTGATGGGAAGCTGGAGTCTTAATCCCAAAGGCTTGAAAATCAGGTGTAGCTAGTTATAATCTCACTTCCTTATTTAAATGTCCTCTAGCACTTTCCAAACTTCATAAGGTTAAAGCAAGGAAGAGAGAGGCTGGGGGGGATAAGTGTGTTTTTGCACTACTGCTAGCTTTCTCAGCAATAACGTGTTCATTTTAAACTTGGCTGGTAGCTAAAATACATTTACATACTGTCCAGTATCCCAACAGTTAGGGGTGCTTCTGCCTCACTTGGCAAAGGGTTGGACTGTTGAGCTCAGGTTTAGGACCCCCAGGGGGAACAAACAGGAGTTCTCCAGCTCCAGGACCGGTGAAGTTCAAGTGATGGATAGTCTCCAATTAGCTACTAGTAGTGTTACCGGGCTTATTTATTTTGTCGTCTCTCCTTACAGAGCTCAGGAATGGTAGTTCTGAAGAAAGTTTACTCTGCAGCCAATATCCTTATTTAAATCACGGGGAGAAAAGAGACGATGATCTTTAACAGATATTTTTAAAAAGGTGATCTCCAGACTAGGGAAGGCAAAAGCAATCAGGTTGTATCTAGATGATTTTAAGGAAGTACACACACAGCTGGTATAAACCTCAATGCGAAACCCATTAAGGACAAGGAAAATATGGCAGTCTCTGTTTATTTTAGATTAAACAACGCTTTTTAAAAAAATAAATAAAACCTAGACATCACCAAGAAAACAATATATTAGAGTGCTATCAATTACATCAGACAGAGCCCTCACCACAACTTAAAGTAGTCCTCAGCTGAAAAGAGAACAGTTTCTAAGGCCTAATTGTTCAAAAACAAGAAGAGATTGTTCTGTAGTAACCTTCATTACTCACAATACCCTATTCATAACTCTAGTTTTTGTCATTCTCCTACCATATGTTACCATTGAAACAAGGGTTTGATTGCCATCAATGGCAAGAAGTGCTAAAATCATTTACCCAATGTTAAGAGCAGACGGGACAATCCAAAGCAGCATCAAGCCTTTGGTACCAGGATTTGGGTTTTCTTTGCTAATCAGCAATTCAATATTGTGTAAGCAGTTCCCATCAGAGAAGAACGTATATCTGGCCCAGCGGAATCAAGTATGGCCAGTAATAAGTCAAATGTGTTCACTGACGTTGAGCACATCACTGATACAGGAGGTGTTAACTCCTGTTCTCAAATGACATTAATCTAAATAGAACAGAAATACGGAAAGCCTTACTCAAGATGAGATAAATATTTTGCACTTTAGACAACTTTACAATTTCCTTGCTCTGTGCACAAGCCACAAGTTTATAAGTGACTGCTTTGAATCTTTCCAATATAGCAACTAAAGTGCAGGACCGGAATATGTAGTCAGTATTCAGGTATATTTTAAAATATCAACTGAAGTATGGCCAATAAATGTCTACTATCGCCACATTATATCTTCCAACATAATCTGTTCAATCTAATTTTTGGAAGCTAATGCCTATGAAACTTTCATTTTGAGTTTGTTGCAGCAGCATGAAGGAAGCATGAATGAAATGCCGCCGTGTAAAATTATTCACATGAATTAAAACACATTAGCTAATTTCCCCTGGAGAATGTAGAGGCATCTATTAAAGGGTGTTCATTTGATAGCTGTTAGGTGGGTACTTGCAGTAGCATTGAAGTCTACGTTTTAAGGTTAGAAATAAAACAAGTTCCTTTTCTGCCTTACTGTTGCTATGTATTAGGGTGCGTTCCCCACCCAGTTTACATTTGCCTTCAATGAAGTACAGAGAGAAGCTCAACCCCCACACTGCCTGCACTTTGGCTACCAAGAAGCACAAAACTTTAGAAAAATACAAGGCAAGAAAAATTTTGAGATTAAAAATATATACCTTTGGTTAAAAACCATCCCCTTTATAACCCAGCTAAGAACAAAAAAAATCTTCACTTAGGCTGAACAGTAGTAAAATTAGTACCAACAGCTCATCACCCCCAGAGACCTTTGAAAATGTCATTCAAATTGCAATTTTTACACATCTGTTGTCCGGGATCTACAGGGCTCATTACATTTGCAGCGACAAACTATTTACATTTTCCATGAAGAGAATGAGTTTCTCCACAAGGTCCTCCACTAATAGTCTTTACAAAAGATAAGCTGGAAGTTCTTAATTAAAGAACTTTTGACACATGTAGTTTTCTTCAGATACTGAATATCCAAACTTTTTATAGAAAGCCACATTTTTGGGCAGACACTCGAGAGTAATTTTATAACAGTTCAGTCTCTTACTTAGCAACGTAAGCGTAGACATTAATCTGAAAGAGACAGAGAACACCAGTGGTTATATAAAATAGCATTTGAACATTGGATCAATTAAAGTTCAATTCTTCAGCGTGAATGCAAACATTTCATTATTACTATTTGATGAGACCTCTCTGCAGTAGAAGCTTAAACTGCAATGATAGAGGCAGTTCAGTTTTCTACATGAAATATTACTTCAGCTTTTACTTGGGGAAAAAAATGTAGAGGCATCTATTAAAGGGTGTTCATTTGATAGCTGTTAGGTGGTACTTGCAATTCATTAGTTAGTGAGAATTTGTTAAACGTGCCCCCGAGCACAATGTGACGTGAGGGGTGTGCCCCTGTCCGCACGCACATGCAGGGGAGTGATTTGTTACCGCTTGAGTCTAGTTATTGATCAGTATGTGTTCATCTGAGCAACTACAGCATGTGTGTTAACAGATGCTAGAAACTGGATGTGATTTCCGGGGCTCCTGACCTGTACGGTGTTACAAGGTAAAGACTGTGAAGAAATACTTACAGTTTGCCAAGCTGCTTTCCTCTGCATTCGTCACTTACTACAACATCTTCTACCCTTCCTCGCTGAGGAAACAGATGCGTCTGTGTTCAGTTTACTATAGCACCTTTAAGTCATTTTTCAGTTAAATTAACAAGTGAATCTCTACCATTGCATCATGTTTTGATCAAGTAAGCAAGGAAAACAGATCTTAAAATGTCTTTGTAACTGACATGAGCGGAGTACACTCATCTTACTCAGTTTGACAGTAAACTGTATTAACTATTTTTGAAAAACAATTAGTTTAATGTAATTTTTTTCTTTATAATTACAGTCTGGAACGCACAAACATACCTTTGCACATGAATGAGTAAATTTATGTTCTATAACTAGCGTTGCTGTAGCAACAATCTGTCCCAGATTTGTATCTTCCACAACGGTCACATAGTAATCACCGGATCTCTTCATGTGTTCGAAGGTTTCTGTGGGAACAGGAGAATAGTACGACAGTTCTAATCCATTAATAAAATATGTGCCTGACAGCCACATAAACTGATTCTGAAGGATAAATTCTAATTCACAGCACTGAAGAATTCAACTCCACAACCCAAGAGGCGATCAAGAAATTAGAAATGGACAAAACCCCACGGTCAAATAGGATCTGTTTCAAATCAGGATGGAAATGGCCAAAAAAGAGTAGACAAAACCAATTCCTGTGTTCTGAGATGCAGGGAGAAGACCGTTCCCTGGCTGCTAGCATCACAGACCCACGAAGATCAAAGTAGCTCACTCTTCCTTAGAGTGACAGACTCTAGCTCGAACCCCTATTAGTTTCTGTAGGCAGACCAATGAAAAAAGAGTAATGGGATGACCTGGGTAATTATAGGGCTGTCAGCCTGACATTGATCCCAGGCAAGATAATACAACAGCTCGTATGGGACTCAATGAAGAATTAAAGGAGGGTAACGTAATTAATGCAAATCAACATAGGTTTATGGAAAACGGATCCTAACTCAGGCCTTGTCTACACTGGCAAGTTTCTGCGCAGTAAAGCCGCTTTCTCCGGTGTAATTGCCGTGGTGTACACACTGGCAAGCCACTTTGTGCGCAGAAACTCCTCAGTTGCAGCATTGCAAACAAAAAACCCACCTCGACGAGAATGGTAAACCTTACAGTGCGGAGGGGACGGACACACACACACACGGAGACACACACACAGGATGTTGATAAATTGGAGAGGGTTCAGAGAAGAGCCACAAGAATAATTAATGGATGAGAAAACCTGCCGTATGGCGATAGACTCAAAGAGCTCGACCTAATTAGCTTAACAACGAGAAGGTTAAGAGGTGACATGATTAGTCTCTACGTATATACAGTATGTGGGAAATACATATTTACTAATGGACTCATCAGTCTAGCGGAGAAAAGTAGAACATGATCCAATGGCTGGCTCATTGCACAGGGAGCAGCTGCAGCGCTTCTTGCAGCCCGGGGGGAGGTTCCCAGAGGAACACCGCCTCCTAGCCCCTCAAACTATGCCCATGTTGAAAAGTGGGGGTGTGTGGCCCCACACCCCCCCCGGATCCAGTGCTGGGCCCCCCCCCCCCACTCTACAAAGTTTCTGGCACCCTTGCCCTCACCCCTGCCCCTCCCCAGCTCCAGGCCCAGCGTTTGGAGGTCAAAGGGGCCTTGGGCTGGCTGTGTTTGTGCGGGGAAAAAACCACAGTGCCCCCCGGACCACGGGGTCCTGGGTGGTCACTCACTGTAAGGCCGGCCCTGCCCCCCCCAAAAGCGATGACACCCCCCACACACACCATGAGACCCTCATGTTTGCACTTCCAGCTGCCCAGCTCTGAAGGCAGCACCTCCATCAGCAGCAGAGCAGGAGTAAGGGTGGCAATACTGCGACCGACCCCCTTACAACCCTCTTTTGGGTTGGGACCCGAATGGTGAGAACACTGCGAAATTTCAGATGTAAATATCTGAAACCATGAAATTGACCATTTTTAAACTCCTCCGACCGTAAAACTGACCAAAGTGGACCGTGAATTTGGTAGGACCCTAGTTATACAGGAGGTCAGACGAGGTTATCACAATGGTCCCTTCTGGCCTTGGAATCTGTGAAACAAGCTCACTGCCTCAACAGGAGTAAAGAGAAGCCCCAACTTCAAACTGCAAGTGGTGATGGACAGACCATGACAAGACACGTTATCTTCATCCATTCACCTTCAGTGCTCACATCTCTAAAACTCAATCTGAACACAAAGAACTACAGTTTGTCCCATTTATGCACATGAACTCTGAAGTCACCTGGGACAGGCAAATGAATGTCACAATGACCATGAGATCCTAAACCATCTCAAAACGCTGAAATCTGCCTGGAGAGGCCTGGGCTAGCAAACTCTCCTGTGGCATCATCCAGCTACAGAAGTCAAGAGGTTCATTCAGGATCAGATTTACTGTCAACATCAATAACTTCCTGTTCCCACCCTTCCCCTTTTCAAATGCCAAAATAATGAATAACGTACTCACTGATAAACTGCTCAGGGCTGACAACTCCAGCTGCTGTCAGCTGACCCAGAACCTTAAAAAAGCCTGTTGCAGAAAAGTATAACCAAAAAAAAAAAAAGAAGGGTTAATGCCAGATAAAGATAAGCAATTAACTAGAAGCCCAAAGAATATGGCTTCAGCATTTCAGGTACAAATTCAAATCTGTAAGTCTGTGCACACAATCATGCAAGCAAAAATAGCACGTTATGCCATATGTTGTACCCAGGCAAAGGAGACAACGTGACCCCTGAACGATTACTGAAACTGCTCCTAAAACGCCCCCCTGTATCCCTTCAAGATATGTAACAATACCACACAAAAGCAACATTTATGTGTTCCAAGTAAAGTGAAGTTTTTAAATACAGCGTTGAGATTCATGATGTGAAGGGACTAGACTTCTCTATATGCCACCTACCATCTAGTTTAAGCAGCAAAGAGTCCTGTGGCACCTTATAGATTAACAGACGTATTAGAGCATGAGCTTTCGTGGGTGAATACCCACTTCGTCGGATGCATACCATCTAGTTTAGTTAGATGTAAAGAACTCCACGTACTCCATATGTATACTGACAGAATTCTACATCTTGAAAGTGAATGCAACATTAATTTTGAACTCATGCCATAAGCAATGTTAAATGATTGTCTAATGCTGTAACAGTGAACTGTTTTGAAAGCAGACAAGAGACATGTGAATCAAAGCAAAGACAGAATGCTAAGAAACTATGGGTACGACCCTACAGTCTTGCACGTTCTCAGAGCCTGGAGTCCAGCCCAACCCTGAACCTCTACGCTGCAATTAAACAGCCCCATAGCTTGAGCCCCAGGACCCCAAAGTCAGCTGATGAAGGCCAGTCACAGGTGTTTAATTGTAGTGTAGACATACCCTATCAGGTTTACATTTTCATGGATGCTCAGAGAAATAATTTGAATGTTGAGCTGTATTTTCAAAACAAGTTTTCCCAAGTTCCACAGCTAACGAATTAGTTGTATTTTCTAACATTCAAATGAATATGAATCAGTATATTGTTTTTATAAAGAAATGTATGTTACTTCTACAAGAGATTGTGATGAACAGGAACGTGTGGATTACTTGGAAGATTTGAGCTTTAAGATTTGTTTTAAGTGCATTCTAAATATGAGGAAACCGGTTTTAAGTGACCACCCAAGCAACCAGCAAGTATCAAATGCCTAAGCACGCAGCTACCACAATGGGGCCATACACTAACCTAGACCAGATAGAAGAGGTGGTTCTCAGCTATAGGACAGATTAGATTGTATTGTAAATCTCAGAGAGATTTCAAAGTGATTAATAATGAAGTGAGGGCAACCTACTGGAAATAGTTGTTAGTGCAGGTTGCAATGTACTGTGTACAATTCTGATCCTCAATATTCATTACACAATAGGAAATAGAACTGGACTTCACCTCTATTTAAATCAGCAGTGCAAAGGGGTCTCATAACTAAACCATCCCCTGGATCTAAAGGTGAAATGGCGGGAGAAAATGTTGCTGTGTTCTGGCTCCAGTCAAGTTCATGAAGGAGATTTGGGTCAAACATTGGTGTGTCATCAGGCATCACAGCTGCAACAGGCATCATGGCAGCAGTGGTTGCAGCAGGTGTACTGAAAGCAAAACACAGATGCATTCTATAAAAAACATTTGAGATTGAGTTAATATTTATACCCTGTAATCCTGGTAGCTACATAGTAACATGATTTTATGTTTATACCCTTATTCCAGCTATTTACACAGTAACATATGTTTTCTCTATGATGCAATGAAAGGTTAATGAAATTTAATCTCCTATTTACTTTATCAGCTTGTACTGTTTGAACTAGAACCTAGCAGGATTTGGGTTTAAAACAAACAATAAAAGTACATACTTTGAAGTTCCTTAATGCATATTAAGTAAAGCCTAATTGAATAGCAACTTTATTTTTGTGCTAATGAATCAAACTTCTTATGGAATTAAGGTAACTATAGCAGATTTTGTACAGTATGCTTAGCATTTACATCCAGTTCAAAAAAATCTAGCACTCCTAATAAAGAAGAAATGCAAACATCACTACTGTATCTCAAAGAGACCACAATTTGGATAAGCAAAATTACACACTTTTTGCTCCTAGAATTTTTTTTTCAAAACTATCCATTAATGGCCACACTAGTAGTTTAATCTGAGTCCCACCACATAAATATTTAGCAATTCAGTTAGAATCACTTCACATGAACATACACACACACTCTCTCTCTACAACAATTTGCATACTTTTCCCCCTTGTTAAATATCATGCAATTTTTTTTTTAAACCTAACACTTCTCACGTGATAATGTTTGCTTGTTTTTGCAATCTACCTTGTGAATTTACAAAATCAAATGCAGTTTTTACTGCCAGGTGTAAGTTTTCACTGACTGTTTTACCACTTGGCTAATACTGCCATGGTTACAGTTTAACAACGGTAAATGATTAAAAGATAATATGAGGGAAATGTTTGTAATTCGGTGGGTGAGGGGAGGAGAATAGAAAATGGGAAACAAGGGACATTTTGCTGATTTCTCTAATTTAGAGGTAAATTATTATTTTTGTGTGTGTGTATGTTGCTTCTGTAACTAGAATATCTGATGGTGTATATAAAATGAATTAGAACTCAAAAGACTACTTCTGAGGCTAGATGTTCTCTTTTTTAAAAAGAGCCCTCTTTATATATCTTCAGTTGAACCAAAAAGCCACCATTCTTCAATGCAAGGTACAGTGTTCATATATACCACTGGACATGCCAAAGTAAACTAAGTTCTAAAACCTATTTTATTAGGATCCTTATATTTCAAAAAATGCCCTTTGCATGAATTATAAGACAGTGCAACATCTCTGTAATACTGTCTAGGGAAAAATGCAGAATGTGTTACGTATGAGGCATTTTAATGGAATCCAGAGCACAGAAGTTTCAGATCAGAAGGCAGCACTGTAAGTACAACAGGAAGCACTAAATATTTTTCCTTCACCTGCTGGTATATGATGACCTTTACATATATGCCCTTTTCACAAACAATGATATACTTAAATGTAAACATCTGCAATCTCTCTCTTTTCTGGGTAAACGCTAATAGAAACTCCCCACCTACCTTTAAAAAAATAAGAAGTACCATACAACAACTTGAATTCTACCGAAGGATCTCACTGTGCTATACAATCAAGCCTACTACTTTTATGAGGTAGCTAAGTATTATCTTAATTTTAAAGGTGGTGAAACTGAGGCACCAAGAGTTTAAGTGACATTCCCAAGGTCTCAGGAAAGCGAGGAATGGGAAGGCAGGTCTTTTGATGCCCAGGTCTTTTGATGCCCAGTCCTGGGCTTTAGTGACTAGACCATGCCAATGTATGCAGAGGACTTTCAAGCTATAACAAGTGTTTGAATTACTCTAAGGCTAACAAGAACTAAGCCACTGTAGCTCTGGTACCTCACATGAAGCTAATGTTATGCTGAACTAAATAAACCTGAGCATGCCTAGTTTTAGTTGCTGGATCATCCTGTGCTTACCCAGAACTCATGGCTGACCATACAATAATAGAGCTCTACTCAAACAATATTCTATGCAGAACAAAATTGGAAGTAATTTCAGTATTGTGTTAGAGAATGCTCAGAAGACACACTGAAAAGAAATATTCGAGAAGAGAACACCAGGAAAATTAAAATCTTTTCATTTAGTATTAGTTTGATAAAGTAATTAACTTATATAATTCACAGCTACAATACCCAAGTCTGGCTGGTCCCTGGGTTTCCTCTAGAAACCAGTAGGAACTTGGACCAATCCCAGCTCAGACTGGGAAGGAGTGCAGAAGACCTGTTCAATATCAGCACACATGGCAGTTTAAACAGACATGAATATGCTTTGAAAAAGTCCTGTCCTTCTTTGCCAGAGATAAGGGGGCCTGGCAGGAAAGGGGCAGTCAAAAACTATTTCAGTGTACTGCAAACGAATTATTGGGAACTTCCTCTTCTAAGACCACGTTCTGCACTTGGGTACATGTGAGCAATCTCCAAGGAAGTCAAGGGAGCTGGGAGCCTCCACCATCAGGAAGAGTTTGAACCACAGACACCTGCCTCCTTCCACTCCCTTCTGACATCATCCTGCTGTGCTGGTCTCCAGGAAACACCAGGGCAGATGGCAACAGAACTACAGTAGAATCTCAGAGTTATGAACATTTCAGAGATACGAACAACCTCCATTCCCGAGGTGTTCGTACTCTGGGGTTCTACCGTCCTTAAAATTTGTATTCTCACAAACAGAGCCATTAGTCGCCACAGTTAATTAAACAAAGCCAGGAGGGGAGGGACCATCTCTTTAGAGGAGACCAGGCAGACCGCCCCTAAGGGAGAGCTGTCCAGGGATCCCAGCCACAGGTGAACGGTAGCTTAGCCTGCATGGAAAAGTTACAATGACGTACACCCAGGGTCAGCCTTGGGCTAGGAGGAAAGAGACTGCTTTCCCCTATACTCTCACCCACTTGTGTCCCCCCCCCGTGTCCCCCAATCTGCCTGCCCCACACACAGCCTCACCCCAGCCCCCGAGCCCCAACCCCCTTCCCCACCATGGGCTCCCCCAGTCCAGCCCCCACCCCTGGATATCCCCTAATCCAGCCCCCCCCACCCGGTACCCCCAGTCCAGCCCCTCTTCTCCCCCCATGTGCCCCCCAGCCAGCACCCCCCTTAAACTAGCTGTATCTCCCCAGACCTCCCCTCCTGCACCTC